TTCCTGGGACTTTCACCAACGATATGTTGGGAACTTTTTGTTCACCCACAGGTTTGGGTTCTGGTTTTTTGTTTGTTTTCAAGGTTCTTTAAAATTTTTTAAACATTTATTCATTTTTGAAAGAGACAGAGAGCGAATGGGGCAGAAAGAGAGAGGGAGACACAGAATCCAAAGCAGGCTCTGGCCCCCAAGCTGTCAGTGCAGAGCCCGACGCGGGGCTCGGAACTCATGGACCGCGATATCATGACCTGAGCTGAAGTTGGCCGCTTAACCGACTGAGCCACTCAGGCGCCCCTGTTTGTTTTTAAGTTAAGTCAAAATAGAATCTAAAGTTCTATTCATTTTCCTGCGATCTTTTTTCTTTCTGTTCATTAGATTGGACAATTTGTGTGGAGGCCTCTTTCGGTCCGCTTGTTCTTTGCTCTGCCATGCTGCATCTCAGCTGTTGAGCATCTCAGTGTATTTTTTACTTCAGTTATTGTACTTTCCAGTTCTGCAATCCTCATTTGTGATTTCTGCTTCTCCATAGAGACTGTCATCACATTTCCTTCAGTCCTCTGAATACGTGTGGAACTGCCACTTTGGAGTCATCTGCTAAATCCAACATCCAGGCCCACTAGTTACTGCTTGTTTTCTGGAGTCCGAGCCCCACTTTCCTGTGTCTTTACAGGTCTTGTAATTTTTCAATGAGCTGGACGCGTTAGTAATATATTTCAGCAACTCCGAAGCGTCTTTTACGCTGTTGAAAGGTGTAGGTGTTCTCACGCGTGTGTGTTTTTAAGTAATTTGCCTGAACTTAAACGGTGGAATGTGACTCCTCGGTGGTGTGCAGCCACTGCCGGTTCCGCTTGGCAGTTCTCCCTCCCCTTTTCACCCTTTAGCCTGGCTAGGAGTTGCCCGCGAGTCCCCGTAGCTCGGTGGCCGGCCAGTGATTTGGGCAGAGGTGGTGTTTAAGTGCCTCGTGCTTGTACAGCCTCCACCCTCTGTGGACCATCTGTCTGTGGGTTGGGAGGTGGCTTCAGAGGCCAGCCAGTTCTCAGGGCTGCTCGGCCTGGTCTCTCTGCTGCACTGTCTCGTGTCTCCCCTCCTCACTCCTGTAGCTGCGTGGTCAGCCCCACATGTGAGGAGAGCGTATCCGGCTCCTGTGCGGTTCTGTTTCCAGGATCTCCCCTCCACACCCCTCGCTGCTCCCCCACTCACCTCGATCAGACCACAAGCTCACGCTAGAAGAACTCTGTCCCCTGTTAGATCCCTACCAAACCTGACAGAGCTGTGGGTTTTTACTGCCCCCACCTCCCCACCACCCACTCCCACCGTCGCCCCGAGTGCCCCAAATCGAGTTCACCCCTTCTGGCGCATAGCTACTGGTTTTCACGGCCCCAGCCCTGTACTGATAAAAACTAGTGAAGTTCTCTCCCGCAGAACTGAGGGTTTGGGGTGGTGACCGGGGTGGGGGGAGGGGGCGGGGGGGCAGGTTGGAGTAGCCACAGGCAGGGTCTCTAGCCTCTTGCAGGCGTTACCCTAAGCACTAGCAGTTTTTCAAGAAAAAAAAGAGAGAGCACCAGTGGAGGAGAGGGGCAGAGAGAGAGAGAGAGAAATCTTAACCAGGCTCCAGGCTCAGCGTGGAGCCTGGCTCAGGGCTTGATCCCATGACCTTAGGATCATGACCTGAGCCAGAATCAAGAGTCAGACGCTCAACCAACTGAGCCACCCAGGCACCCCATTTTTCTTCTTCTTCTTCTTTTTTTTTAAGATTTTATTTTATTAAGTAATCTCTGCACCCAGCCTGGAGTTCACATTCACGACCCTGAGATCAAGAGTCTCATGCTGTACCAACTGAGCCAACCCAGGAGCCCCTAACCTCTTCTTTACATAAGAAAAATCTCTATAACTCACCTTTAACCAAAACCTTAAGAAATGTCTGCTCATCTTCTTGGAGCCTTAGGTTCCTTCGGGAAAGTGCAGAATTGACCAACCTGACAATTCTCTACACAGCATTAGCTTCGGCCAACTGAGCCACCCAGGCGCCCCTCAAGAAATTCGTGTGTTTGTTATTCACCTTTGATCGATTTCCAGAATCTGAAATGGCTGTTGGACAGTCTCGTCCCGCTTTCTTACTGTTGTCTTGTTTTGGGGAGAGGAGTTACCGGCCTGTTCACGCTGTCGTGGCCAGCACTGCCCTCGCTGAGTCCTCTCCCGGCAGCTCACAGTTCCTCACCGCACCCCTCCTCACCACTGCCCTGACTCCCACCAGCTCCCGTTGTTTCACAGGCCCGCATTCCAGCTTTTCGACGCCAGTGTTAAGGGCAAGTTCTGTTCCTTAATGCAAACCTATGCGGTTAAGATTTCTGTTTCTCACCCCTGGTGGAAACTATTCACTATATGACTTTGCATTATATCGACTAATTTGAGGTCCTAGAGAAATCCTGAAATAAAGTTAGGAATCCATGTGTAGCGACTGTGAATTGATTGTGCTAAGGAGAAAATGGAAGCTCCTTGAGCCGTTTCTACAGACACGTGTTCTATATGGCACACGTTCTATAACTTTAGGAAGTTACTAACAATAAAATGGGAAATTATTAGGAGGCTCTGGCTGAAGATGCTTCTTACATGTTTGGGTTTTTTTTCCTTTTTTTTTTTTTTTTTCAATTTTTAAATAAAAATTTTTAAAAATAAACATTTTTATTATTACTTTTTTTAATGCTTACTTATTTTTGAGAGAGTGCAAGTTGGGGAGGGGCAGAGTGGGGGCCAAAGGATCCGAAGTGGGCTGTTGCTGACAGGCTGACTGCAGCGAGCCCGACGCGGGGCTTGAACTCATGAACCGCAAGATCATGACCTGAGCCCAAAGTGGGACGCTTAACTGACGGAGCCACCCAGGCACCCCGTGGTTAAGTGTACCTTTAAACGGGAGTGTGAATTCACTGCTCTTAAGCCATTTGCCTTTGGAAGTTGTGAATGTGTGGGTGTTCAGGGGATGCGTGTGGAGAGGGAGAGACTGAGCAGCAGAACAGCGCATCATAAAACTTAGATATGACAACATCCTAGATTATTCTGTTAAACTTGTACTATCTACTCACATGTTTCTTAAAACGGACCTGGTAGTTCCTGGGGCCAATTAAATTCAAAAGGTAGGTAGGAAGCATTGTTATTTAACCACGAACTGATACCTTAAATGTCTGTAGCACTTTGTTGAAAGATTGCTTCCGCAAACAGTATTTTATTGTGGTTCATAAACTAGCCCCTTGTGCGTGTGAGGGTTTTACAGTCGGGGAATTCAGAGTCCGTTCTCCCCCCTCAGCCACTTGGATGCCCCATCTCCCACGGTCCTCACAGCGGGCACCCGTGTATCTCTTCCCATTCAGTCCAGGCGTCCACTCTATTGGGAAGCCTTGGGAAGCCTTGCTTGGTTTTCCTAGGCTAAGCCAAGCGTTTCTTTCATTTAGGCTCACGTCGATTCCTGAGCCGACCGCTTTCCGTGGAACTTACTGTGATGTTTTTTGTTCACTTTCGTCTTCCTAATTAAACTGTAAGGTCTTCAAGTTCATCTTTGCAGTCTCTGACTTATCACAGTGCCTGGCACTTGATAGTTACTCAGTAACCCTTTCTCAGGTTGGGGGGGGGGCGGGTGGTGGTTAAGGGAGATACGGTGTGCCATGGGAGGTCTGAGGAGGGAGACGCTGAGGCTGCTAAGGGCAGGTGGCACTGATCTGGGCCTCGTACTAAGAGTGGTTAGAATTGGAACATGCGCGGGTGATGGTGGGAAGAATTGGGAAAGCCATCTCTCAAAGCAAAGTTAGAGATGGGCAAGATCAAAGTGTCCTTGGATAAAAGCACATGTTTCCATTAGATGAAGCTTTGGGTGTTTGGTGGTTACAGAGGAAAATAAGGTGGGAGAAAAAGTCGCTTGAGTAGAAATTGGGAAGAGTATTTGAATGCCTGGCTGAGAAACATTATCGAAGCAAGGAAGGGGAAGTGAGCAGAACTGTGCTTCTGGAAGACCCATCTGTTGCATATACCAGATGAGGAGAGAAGCAGGGGACGGGTTAGGAGAGTCTTACGAGCCTCTGGACTAGGGGCTCCAGGTGTTATGTAGAGGAGGGGTGAACGGAAGAGAAATTGCCAAGGTAGAATACACAGGATTTGACAGCTGATTGAATGAGTAAAACAAGGAGAGCGGAGTCAAAGATTGTGTCCTTACTGCAAGAACTGTCTCGAATAAACCATTTCACCTCCTAGATTTCAGTTTCCTCATCTACCACGTGAAGCCAGTGTTGCCTACCTGACAGTATTGTATTGAAAAGAAATTAGAAGTGCTTTGGAAATTACTAGTGTAAATAGTTCTTTAATTGCTTTTTTTTTAACATTTTTTAAAATCAGTCATTCTTTGATGTCCTTGATTTGTGCTTTTTATTATCGTGAGCTGCGTTTATGTTGAATAGTTCCATCTTGGTGTCAAGAACCAAAAAAAAAAAAAAAAAGATTTCCAAGAAAATGAGAAACAAGCAATGGAATGTGGAATTTTATTTCTAAAATGTACTTCAGACGTTGATTTTCACATTGGGCTAGAAGCTTTTTGTGCCCTTAAGACAAGAGCCTGTTTTGACAGTCACTAGGTCCCATGCCGTGCATTAGCAAAGAGATAGCGGTCAGGGGTCCCTCCTGGGGCTGCAGAGGCCTGATTACCCCCGCGCCTGCCTGCAGAGAAGAAAGGACCTCAGTTGCTGTCCATTTAGATACTCTCCCAAATGCTGGCAGGCACGAATAGCCGAAGTATTTGAAGGAGACAAGCTTTGATGAGGAATCCACAGATGAGGTTTGAATTTGTATATGGACTCTACCTAGCTAGTGGGTCGTCCTCTCCTTGAGGGCAGGAGTTACTACAAGCTCTCCTCTTATTATTCCCATTGGCATATAATGGATGTTTCATAAGTGTTTTTGTGTGGGGGGCAAAAAAAGCTTATAGAGGCAGTTCAGCATCCGTGCCCGGTTAGTAGGAAATGTTAGTGACATCATTTGAGGTATTTAAACAGCTGCTGATGGCTCTGGGGCAGAGATGTGAAGGCGCAGCGGAGGGGCCTGCCTTTACGCTGTCGCCCATAGGCCCTGCAGCCCTCCTCGGTGGTGAGCCTTGGAGCACACCCGAATTACAGGTAACTAGGACTCCGTGCTTCGCATCACCCCGTTTCTTCGCTTTGTTGCACACCCTTTCTCTGGAGTTGAAGCCAGATTTTCTCTCACCGCTCTCCTATCAGGAGATCAGTCTCCCCATCCTCCACGGAATTAACCACGGACCCCCGTACTTGCAGGTGCCCTGGGGAGGGGTGTCCCGCTACCACATAGCCGAGAAGTGGTAGCCCTTAACGTGGGTCCGTTGGCCCAGATGAGGATTTCTGGAACATAATGGGAAGAATGGGGCCTAGATCTTTGTCTCACGTTGTGCGTCGTGGGGCCATGTTACCCTCAGCCTGCAGCGTAGGCATCATCATTAGCACGATCTGTTTCCGAGCTAGAGTTAGAAGGCCTGGGACTGAGGAATTTATTCACCCGGCTGTCCACTCTTCCAGGGGAGGCCCTGATGTGGAGCCGACACGAACCATCCACACTTGTCAGTTTAGCAGAGTGGGGGTGCCTGTGAGCCGCTGGGCGGTGGCAGAGCTGGGTCCACGAGCGCACTGCAGGCTGGCGTGACGATGCAGGAGTTGCAACAGAAAACCACACTCAGAGCCAGGCGTGGATACTCTCCGGCAGAGAAAATTGCCCTTTGGGCCATGACGCCCAAGACACCTTTCAGCACGTTGTTACTGTTGTTAGCCTTGTGATCCATTCATTCATTTGCTATCCTCCCACCCCCCCCCCCCCCCCCCCACCAGCAACTAGAACTACACAGAGTTGGGGATGGTGATTCTTGAACGCAGACCGTTACAGCTAGCTGGTGACAGAGCCAGAACTCAGGAAATCTGCTTTCAGTCAAATGCTTTTTTTCTGCTTCCCCATGCAAATTACAAAAAATAAAGGGTGTCCACAGGGATGGTCTTGTTAGCTTCCACTCATTCTTTGACCTTAAGCCTAAGAACTCCAACTAGAACATACAGATTTCTTTCATTCTAAAATGTACATTAAAATATTAAACATTCAGTTAAGGATCAAGGTTTTAATTGAGGTGATCTGTGTGTTCACTGTTTTATGTTATATACAAAATTTTTCTGTAGTTCTTACTCCCGGTTTAAAAACAATAAGTGACTTGTTGTGGTTTTTATTTCACAGGGTGATATCAGTTTATGATGATATTACATGTACAGATGATGCCTTTTGTAATTCCTTTTTTATAGCACTTTGACCCACTGAGAAAAAGGAACTAGATATTTTCTAAAGAAAATTGAATTACTAGTTAACTGGAAAAAAAAAGAAAAAAAAAGCTTTGCTTATATTTAAATGACCAAACAGCACTAGATTCTCAGAATTTGGGTTGTCACAGCAGTATTCTTTTTCTTTTATATTTTTTATAATGTTTTATTTATTTTTGAGAGAGAGAGAGACAGAGGACAAGTGGAGGAGGGGCAGAGAGAGGGGTGGGAGGGAGACACAGAATCCAAAGCAGGCTCCAGGCTCTGAGCTGTCAGCACAGAGCCCAATGCAGGGCTTGAGTGTTGAACTCACAGACCATGAGATCATGACCTGAGCTGAAGTTGGATGCTTAACTGATTAAGCCACCCAGGTGGCTTAATGCCCCTTAAGCATTTCTTTTTAAAATAACTAAATCCAAAAGTAATTTTTCTTGAGTAGGGAATTGCTCTACACAGATGCAATTTCAGTTTTCCGTGCCTTAAGAAATTGTGTTTGGTGGTGGCATTAGATAAAATAATTTTGTATTCAACATATGATAAATGGTCCTACTAGCATGTTCGTTTAGCACTGTGAAATACTCGGATTTTCAGTAAATAAGCATATGGGCCAAGATTTCACTTTTTGGAAAAATATTAAATCATGTTAGGGCATTTTTACTCTTTAAGAAGGAATTCGTATGATCTAATTCCACCCAGTTTTAACCTATCACATACTCCATTATAAATATGTATAAAAATGCTTTAAATGCTAACAAACCTTGGGGCACCTGGGTGGCTCAGTCAGTTGAGTGTCTGTCTCTCGACTTTAGCTCAGGTCATGATCTCACTCATGGTTCATGGTTTTGAGCCCCACGTCAGGCTCTGTGCTGATAGCGCGGAGCCTGCTTGGGATTCTCTCCTCCTCTCTCTCTGCTCCTCCCCTGCTTGCTCTCTCTCTCTCTCTCTCTCAAAAGATAAATAAAGTAAAAAAAAAAAAAAATTGCTAAAGGTGGGTCAACATGGGTTGTAGGCAGGGTAAAATGACATGATGAAAAGTGACCCAGGGCACCTGGGTGGCTCAGTCGGTTAAGCAACTGACTTCGCCTCAGGTCATGATCTCATGGTTTGTGGGTTCGAGCCCTGCATCGGGCTCTGTGCTGACAGCTCAGAGCCTGGAGCCTGCTTCAGATTCTGTGTCTCCCTCTCTCTCTGCCCTTCCCCCACCTGTGCTCAGTCTCTGTCTCTGTCTCTCGCTCTCTCAAAAATAAATACAATGTAAAAAAAAAAAAAAAAAGAAAAGTAACCCAACCCACTTTCTACAATATTATAAGGAAAAAAAACAAAAAAGTATTTAAAGCTGTTTTAAAAAACATCTTTTTATTATATGATATTGTGGTTGTGGTGAGGGAGCGTGCTCGAGCCCTGGAAATCAGATTGAGTTTAGCTACCAGCTCCCTCCATTTGCTAAATGTGTAACCATCGGAAAATTATTACTCTAATGCTCATTTTCCTCATCTGTAAAAATGGTGATGATCGTTCCTACCGGTTGGGTTATTTTTTGCCTTAAATGAGAAAATGAATAGCAGGTACTTAGGATAACGCCTGGCACATAGTAAGTGTGCAAAAAAGCATTAGCTACAATGCTATTTTTGTATAATTATTTCAGAGAAGGCATTCTAGGCAACCTCGATTTATAAAATGATACAAGGGCACCTGGGCGGCTCAGTGGGTTGAGCATTTGGCTCCTGGTTTCAACTCAGATCATGCTCTCATTGACCGTTCCGAGGTTCAAGCCCTGCTTCAGGCTCTGCACTGACAGCATGGGAGCTGCTTAGGATTTTCTCTCCCTCTCTCTCTGCCCCTCCCCCTGTTAACAGAAATAAATAAACTTAAAAAAAAGATACAAATTAATAGGCCATCCAATTCTCTTCTCTGTTACTCCATTTTCTTCCTTCACCTGCATGGGAGCTACTGCTCTAAGAGCCATCCTGATAAAAGCAGTATTTTCCTAAGTGAATTTTGTAGTCTGCTTTAGAAAAATAAATGAATGAATTGCATGTGTAACATGTTTCAGGAGAAAGGTGAGTTCTCTCTTCAGAATTCACAGGAAACTTGTTGACTTTGTTTAATCTAGTATTTCCCATATTTATTTGACCATGAAAGCCATTTTCTACAACATACCAGGTAATATCCTGTAGAACTAACTTATACCCACTGTGAAATATTGCTCTATGATTTTTTTAAAAAATTTTAAATGCTTATTTATTTATTTTGAGACGGAGAGCTAGAGAGCGAGCAGGGGAGAGGCAGAGAGAGAGGGAGACAGAGAATCCCAAGCAGGGTCTGCATTGTCAGTTTAGAGCCCAATACAGGTTTCAAACTCAAGACGAACTGTGAGACCATGACCTGAGCCAAAATCAAAAGTTGGATGCTTAGCCAACTGAGCCACCCAGGCTCTCCTTGCTCTATGAGTTTTGAAACACACACACACACACACACACACACACACACACACACACACACACCCTTTAGATGTGCCTAAAGCTACTTTGGGAATGATCTTTCCATTAGATTTTCTTGGGTATAAAATACATCACAGTCTTAGTTCATACAAATTTGAATCATTCAACTTTGAAATAATGCAATGTAGAAAAATTAATGAAATTTCACTTTTGTGTAAATTTTTAACTGTTATAACCAAATTTAAAATTACACAGGTCTTATTGGCTTTATTCAGTGATTCATGAGTTGGGTTGCATCCAATCTAAGCAGATAGAAAGGCGCTCAGAAGAGCTGTACAAGGCAAGAGATTTGATAGGCAGAAGGAGCAGGAACAAGGAAGTTGGACTGGGCATTTGCTGATTGGTTAAAGCAAGGTTGCTTTCCTTATTTGGAAAGTAGGGGAGTCTTGGAGCCAAGTCAGGTACGTTGTGCTGATTGGTTGACCTAGGCCTTCCTTTTCTGGGAGAGCCCAGCAAAGCAATGTAGTTCACTTTTGGTTTGCTCAACTGGGGCCTGTTGGCATGAGTGACTCCCTCTTGGACACAGTCTGGTTCCTTTAACAGAACCAATGTGAATACTCTCACATAACTAATAATTATATTCATAATTCTTGTTCATAATTGCCTCATTTCAAAGCTGTGTGAATTATATGGCAATTCACAAGACAGCTCTGCTTTTAGCAATTAATAGAAAGATCTACTGTCCTTGGATAAGTTTAGTCTGGAATTCTGCTGTTTTTAGAACCTTGTCCCTTGCACCATGTGTGACCGACTTTATAATCAATATTGTGAAAATATCTCATTCATCCTATGAAGAGGATCCACTTAAACCCTAACTGAAGACCAGCCCCCACCCAAAAGAAATTGGACCCAACTAGGAATCCTCCTTTTGTTCTCAAAACGATGAGATCTTCAGGGAAAATGCGCAGGGGATGGCACTTTATGTGGCTTACCTTTTGTGAGTAACTTACAAATGTAAGTTAAAACTGTTTCTAATTTGGGAGTAGGTAATCGTAATATCAGATTAGGTGTTTTTTTTTTTTCCTTTGCCATGGCGATAGTTTGAAAAATGAATGGACTTTTCAGCCCATTTCTGATGTTTAGAAGTTGTCCAACCCACCTGTTGAATACAGACACAAGTACCTACCTACATTTATGTCTTCGTACAGTCCTTAAACCAACTAGACATTCTTGGTGTTTTAATATTCTTCAGGGTTTAGGATCTGACATCTCCAAATACCTTTTCCCTTCTTTTTGACTTCTTATTTTGAAATAAACGTAGTAAAGTGGCGAAAATAGCGCAAAAAATTTCTGGATGTCCTTCATCTAACTTCTCCTAGTGTCGACACCTTACACAGATACACTATAGTTTTCGGGGCACCTGGGGGGCTCAGTTGGTTAAGAATCTGAGTCTCAGTCTCAGCTCCGGTCTTGATGTCCGGGTCATGGGGTCAAGTCCCTTACTGGGTTCTGCGCTGGGCAGGAAGCCTACTTTAGAAAAAAAAAAAAAAAAAAAAAAAAAAGGT